ATGTGTGAGCAGGTACATGTACTCCTTTTCATGCCCAGACCACAAGAGGACGTTGGGTATCCTGTTTCATCACTTTCTGCCAGGTCCCCCCGAACCAGGGTCTCTCACTTAACCTGGAGATAAGTTGATGACCCTCAAGCCCCAGTGTTTCAGGCCCATGTGGCTGGAAATTTGAACTCTAGTTTTCATGCATATGCAGCAAGATCTCCCATCCACTGAATCATATCCCCAGCCCCTTCCCTTTTGTAGTCCTAGGGATGGAACTCAGGGCTTCATACATGTTAAGCATGTGCCCTACTACTGAGCCCTTGGCCCCTCCTGTATTTCTTTATGGCTTCTTGTGGCTGACTCATACTCAGATTGTTTTCTTGTTCTTTTTTTTGGGAATGAAGGGATATTTTACGTTATAATTTGTACTTTGCATTAGGGACGAATTCTTACCCTGTCGCATGTCTCTTAATGCATCATTAGTCTATCCTTTAAAAATAAGTCAGATTAAATATATACATTCGGATTAAGCATCAGTAGATTCACACCATAAATAGTAGTGAATTAGTAATGCTTTTCAATTTACCACTTTTCTATAGTGGTCTGTCTCCTGGCTAGAAAGGGTTATTTTGCTAAAGTTGGTTTCTAGACCAGTGGAGCAAGAGATGATTATAGGACATATTGTAGCTGAGTCCTTGGCAGTTCTTTTGACAAAGCCTCTGATTAAGTCTTTGTGTGATGGAGGAATGTGTGCAGCACAGACGAGAAGATGCTACTGGGGAGAACTCAACAGCCAGAGAGGACAGAATCACACGTTATGTTAAACATGTAGGCTCTCGCAGTATGTCTTAATGTTTGCCCTCGGTCTATTCAAGGCTTTCAGCACTAATCTTCCTCACCCCCCTTTTTTATGACATGGCCTCTCTACATAGCCCTAGTTGCCCTAGAAACCACTATGTAGACTCTGGCCTTGAATTCACAGAGCTTCGCCTACTTCTGCCTCTTAGGGCTGGGATTAAAGGCGTGTGTCACCATGCTTGCCTTCCCCCAGTAACTTTTCAGTGTGAAAAGAGAGCACATATTTTGAAATATGAAAAGTCCTAAGTTGAGAATGGCTAATTTCTTGTTGTCAGGATTCTTAAACCAATGAAATGGTTACAGTGGACTCAAACCAATAGGAAATTTCTGGACAGATGTGAAAGGAAAGAAATCCCAATAAGACAAGTATAAAGTGAAAGGACTATGGGTAACCAAAGAGAACAGCTTTCCCCACAATGCTCAGCTGAGTGTTAATGTGCTGTGGCACTCACAGACCTTATCAACTAGAAGTGAATAAAGTTATTGGGGTCACTGAATTATAAATGGGGAAAATTGGAGGTCAAACATAGCTTGGCATGGTTTTTCACTGATGACCTTCATTTTTAACTGTTAAAGTGTTAAGTATTTTAAAGTGTGAAATGTTTTAAGAGGTGGGTATAAGATACAATTACAGTGATTAATCTTTAATTAATTTAACCAACCTTGTTTTCATAAAGGATTTTGCTGGATGTACTACTGGAAAACACGGACCTAGAGAGTTGACTTGTGCAGAAACTGTAGTTTAGATCAAATAAAGGTGATTCGTCCCGGTACAGAATAATGGAGGTATCATTCGCAGTAGAACATATTTAGGGAATTCTTTTCTGACGGGTGTTGGCAACCTGAGACATGCCACACGAAGAAATAAAAGAAACAGGAATGAAAAGGAAGAGCCAAAGATGGATGATAACTATTGAAAGGACTGTGCAAAGATAGCATATATGAAGCCTTGGAGTCTAAGTTTCCAATCAGTTCAATGATACTGGGAATGATAACCTCAGAAAACAGGCTTCTTGCTATATACCAAATACCGACATAGATAGCTTTCAGTCTGGTAACTCATATAATCTTAAAATAGCCCTGTGAAGCAGATAACGTTAAAAAGTTTCATTTCAAACCAGAGGAACATTATGGCATAAAGCTAAAGATATTTTCCCCAGATCGCATGGACAGTGAGTAGCAGAGTTTCGGTTTGGATTCTAGGGCTGTGAATATAGAGCTTTTCTGTCCTTTGTGTGCTTGCTGTGATTTCAACTCAGCATGATGAGTCACTGACTGGGGTCCCTTATACACCCTTTAGGGATGTCTGCCTTCTCACCTGGCTGCTACTTAGACAGCAGCCGTACAAACACACTGACACTGGTGAAGAGAGTTTGGACTCTGAATAACAGCTCCATGGTGCCAGTCCAAAAAGAATGAATTGATTTGCATGATCTCTTTCATCTTTACATTCAGTGATTCCTTTAAAAAAAATAATTCCACAGTTTGTCTGTGATGACTCTTACATAGAGAACAGGGATTGGCAGAGGTTTTTGGTCAATGGTTTGAATTGATACCATTTTGTAGCAAGGACATCTAAGGTTAAGTAGCTTATTGTTTTGGTGATAAGTTGTCCTTAGGAGTAAGGAAGGACTGTGGTACTTCTGAAGTGGTCAGTGCTGCAAGGTCAGGGAGGTCTCAGCCCAGTTGCCCTTTTGTCTGTTAGATCTTTTATTAGCAAGGTCTGTGCTGAGGGGGCGGAGTGGGATGACACTTTGCATAGTGCTTGTATTGAATCCCATGCCACAGATTCAGTTTAGATGGTCCAAGACCCTCACTTTCTTGGCAGACCAAATCTAAAATCATCTGTGGAGAAGGGGCTTTTATTCAGTATTTCAAAGTATGTTCAGAAAGTATGTATAGAGTGTTACATAGGGAAAAAAAAACTTCCATAGCAAAGAATGTAAGAAATCAAAGTGAGTGGAAATAGGGCAGATTAAAAACAAGAACAACAACAACAACAAAACGTAAGATAAAACCAAAACTTGCAAACCGAACTTGGACAAGACAAGCCAATAGAGGGAAAAGATCCTAAAAGAAGGCACAAGACTCAGAGACCCACTCATTTGCACATTCAGGAGTCCCAGGAAAGCATTACCTGGACGTCATATGCAGAGGACCTGGTGCAGGCTTGTGCTGGTCCCGAGCATGCTGATTCAGCCAGGCAGGCTATTTTGAAATGATGTTTGTGCTGGTAGAAAAGTAAAAGATAGCAGCGAAAACTAGAGGCCCATATTTGACCCTGACAGAAAACCTCTTCTGGGAACTACATATAAGCTTTGTAACTGCCTTTGAAACCGACCAAGTAGAGTGCCTAGGTATTAAGAAATAGGATAAGCAGTGTTAAGTTCATAGTTCAATAGTACTGACCTACCATTTTCAGGGTAATAGGTCTCATTTCCCGCACTGCAAAGAAAATTCACAATAGTTCAAATGTTTAAAACTGAAATTGTAAAACTTTAGGGGCTGATGATGATGCCGCAGTTCTGAACAGTTGCTGTTCTTGCAGAGTATCTGCGTTCAGTTCCCAGCCCCCACATGGTGGCTAACAACCATCTGTAAATCCCGTTCCACTTCTCTGCTACTTCTCTTCTGAGAGTCTTCTACATGCATGAGGTGCATACACATACACATACCCCCAGGCATACAGACATACACACGAAATAGATAAGTATGTTCTAAAAAATTTACAACTTTATAGCAAACTGAATGTAGCTGAGGAAATGGATTTTTGCAGATAATAGGACAGAGAAAATGATTAGACATGGATGTTTACAAATAAAGGGTTATAAACGGGAGGATGCTACATAAGGCTTGATTAGTACAATGGAGAACGTGGAAGTCTGACACTTGGGCAAGGAAAATAGAGAAGGAATGCAGAAGAAGTTATTTGGTGAAATCGCAACTGAGCAGATTCTAGAGCTGACTTAATACTCTAAGCCACATTTCAGGAACTCACTGAATTCTAAGCAATATAAATAAAACCACGGAGCAACTCAAGGCTAGAGAAGGACAATGAATTTCATAGCAATAGCAATCGTCTCAGTAGTAGCAGCACAAAAATGGAGACAAAAGTAATATAACATTTCATTATGCTAAGACGAAAAGAGGGCAAACATTCCCCAGAACCTTCCATATAGAATTTTATATCCACTAAACACTGCTGTCAAGACTATTGCTTAAAAGGGAGATATTTTGAAAGAGAATTCGGGAAATCTACATTCAATAGACATCTTCCAAAGGAAAACTGTAAAGAATATACTTCAGACAGAAGTGATTTCAGTTGCATGACTGATACTAAGAAAGCAGTAAAGAGATAAATCCATTTTGTGTGTGTGTGTGTGTGTGTGTGTGTGTGTCAATCTAATGAGATAGAAAATTACAATCATGTAGGGTTAAAAACACACCATATGATTAAAATGCATGAAGACAATGGCATCAGTTAGCCAATGGGTAAATCCGTTTTGAGGGTTTTAAGATGATTGTACTATCTGAAATGAGTCATGCGGCTTTGAGAGAGAGAAATAAAGAAGCATTGGGGCACCATGGTAGAAGCCAGAAGCCAGGATGGCTGGGGACTGGAACCAGCTTTGCCATCAGTTAGCAGTATATACTTCGAGAAGCTGCTTCTCTGCTATCACGATCTGTGTCTGTTTTCTTAAGTGTGAATATGAGACTTTGGAACTAGATTAAAATTTAAAGTCCTTCACTGGGGGTCAATGAAAAGGAATTCCTGCAGAAGGAAAAAAAAAGAATCAATAGTTCTTGAGGTATTTACCGTTCCTTTAAATTTTAAACAGTAAACACTTTGCTGTTACTTCCAGCCAACTTTCACGTATCCGTTCAGAAACTTAGAGGTAAATCTAATCTCATTCAGCTGTGTGCTTTTGCTTTTGCTTTAAGCCGATTTCTTTGTTTTGTCTTGTTGTCATTTAATAGTTAAGTGAGGTAATTGTCTCTGGTAGATGGTAAGGGGACCATAACAGGGTCTGAGCAGAGGACCTAGCTGAGAAACTGTGATTCTTGCTATTCTTTCTTTTTGATTTATTACCTAAACAAATTAATGCCTTCTTACTCTCTTGCCGCCTCTCCTCCAATCCCTTCTCCTTTCCCAGGCCAATAATAAACCTGAGATTGAAGCGGCCCTCTTCCTCGACTGGATGCGCCTGGAACCCCAGTCTATGGTGTGGCTGCCCGTTTTGCACAGAGTGGCTGCTGCAGAAACTGCCAAGCACCAGGCCAAGTGTAACATCTGCAAGGAGTGCCCAATCATTGGATTCAGGTATTGGGCTCCGACAAAATAACCTTACCGTCTCTGACTTTTTCATGACTTGGTCTTTTGCCTCCCATGCCAGTTTGCTGTTAGTTTGTTCCTCTCCAAAGCAGGAGAGAAAGTGATGCAGCCAAAGCATCGATCTCGGCTGTCATTCCCCTGATCACAGGGTTATTTTGGTGGACCTGACTCATTAGGCAGATGTCTCCTTCCACCTTCACTCTTCAGCTCTTCGCAGCCACATTTGGGGTTGGGCGAGACAGAGTACCTGTCTCCACAGAGTTATTTGTTGGTCAAGGGCATCCAGATGAACTGTGCCTCCTCCTTCCTGGAACTCAAACATTTTTACCCTTGTTTTCTTTTTTTCATGGCCTTTTCTGTTTATAGAAATTCTCCAAGAATCAGTTATAAAACGAAGAGTTGCTTCTATTCTGGGAAGACGCATGCATCCTGGTAGCTCAGTTTCTTTCTCACTTGGCAGTACTTCTTTTTACCCCTTAAGTAACAAGAATTATTCCAGGCATCTGAGAACTTTCTTCTTTTTCTTTGAATCTGATTCTCTTCTTTCCATAGTATCCTGGTGAAATCCTAAGGGAATAAAAGGTAGGCAAGCAAATGAGATTCACAAAGCAGCTAAAAACAGAAAGCGTTCCTTATAAGTGTAAAGGTGAGAGAAATAGGAAACAGCACGCTATTACTTTGCTCTTCTTAAAATGACGTGGAAAACAATTGACTCATTTGGAGAAGTAGGATATTTTTAAATGAACTAAACTAATAATAATCCCAAGTCCTAATTCTGAAATGATGATGCATTTAAACATCTGGATTGATATGAGCCTTTTCCATAGCAAAAATCAACAACAGGATTTTACGCCAGCTATTGAGCTATGCCCCTTCTGAATTCACGTAGCAGCCAATGTAAATATTCATTTCTAGTTGTGCTTAAATATATTTTATGACTTTATTTTCTATTTTTCTTAAAATACACTGTTCTTTTACCATTGATGTTTTTTCTCCTGTAATTTCATGCAGCTTTTTTAAAAAAGCCTTACAGGTTTCTAAAGCCTAGTTAGACAGATCCTTATAAGAATATACCTTTTTTCCTTATTGGCTTTGGACAGGTGAGAAGGGTACTATAGAGCCTACAAGATGGGGAGGGGAGCTGCAGGTGACTGCATTCCTTCTTATCTTCCCGAGCCAGCTTCCTGAGCCAGTGGGATTTGTATACAACAGAGGAAAATTTTATAAAATAAAAAAAAAAAAGGACCGTGCTTTGGAGGACCTAAGAATGGTCTTTTTTCTTTTTAACCCTTCAATTCTTTTGCCCTTATCAAATTAGATTATTTTAAGAATCAACACTTCTCTTTCTTCCTTACTCCTTCTGAAATGACGGTTGAGATCTAAAAAAAAAAGAAATGCTAGCTTTTCTTCCCACTTCCCCATATGTGACATCAAGAATATGTTTATCTGAATTGGCTGAGGCTCTTATCTGAGAAGGCAAAAATCAGGGGGACTGAAACAAATATGTAGTATTCTGAGTCTGAAGGAAAATGTACCAACCAGTCCTGAGAAATGAGAAAATCCTCCATTTAATTCAATGTTGTTGTTGTTGGCTTTTTTGGAGGGTGTCATTTTTGAGTAATATGGTGAGGAATTTCTGGAGAGAAGAAATTGTCCAATTGACATGAAGATGAATCATGCCAGCCAATTACAGATTATGTAATGAAACGAACAGTTATTTTAATTGGAGTTCTTACGTCGATTTCTTATGAGTAACTTCATTTTTGTAATTTTGTGATCATTAGTATTTCAGAAAAGTCTTGTCAATCGTTCCCTTTGAAGTTCTTTCAAAGTTGAGTATTTGGTCTTTAAAAGACTAGGAGTTTGCCCATCCTTTCCCTTTTAATCTGAAAGAGTTCCAATGTAGTTTAAATAAGGGTTGAGTTTTTCATTCTTTCTTCCATATGTGTACGGGATAATCTTTCTGCCAAAATGTTTTGATACTGTAGAAAAGGCACTGGAGAAGCCTGGGGTGGGAGGTCATTGCTTACTATGCAGGACTAATGAAGGCTACTTTGTTTTTACACTTGGCAGTGTGGTGGAGGGTTTCCTAGAGTGTTCTTTGGGCCTGTGACCTGAAGAAGTACATATGTGTTTGTTTCTGTTCTTTTTCAGGTACAGAAGTCTAAAACACTTTAATTATGACATCTGCCAAAGCTGCTTTTTTTCTGGTCGAGTGGCAAAGGGTCATAAAATGCACTACCCCATGGTAGAATATTGCACTCCGGTAAGTTAATGTCCTCCTGACATGCGTTCATTCACCTAAGAGGAATTCTAGATTTGGATATTGCAAGTCATACTTAGTTCTTGGTTTTGCTTTTTTTTTTGGGGGGGTGGTTCTTTTTATTTGTTCTGTTTTTAAGTTCCACCACCCTATGTCTGTACCACGCAGGTCCTAATACCCATCAGAGGTGACTGGTACTCAATTAGGACTTGGAATGAATGCATACGTTGTTCTCTTTTTGCATGGTTGTAGGGAGGCCACCTCACATTTCTTTTGTACAACCTTAGCAATCATATAGGGAAGCCTCATGGCCGTAGGGCACGTTGAAAATGGAGAAGAATAGTATGTGTATTCCTTAAAAAGCACACCATACTACCCTCGATCGCTGTTGTTCACCTTGAGCTTTGTGACGTTAGCAACTGACTCTTGTAAAATATGCTTCATATGACAATACTTGATTACTCATTTACATGGTAACTAAGTACTTACCTCTTAAATGGCTTTATGTGCAATGGTACTGTTGGTTTTAATATTATTATTTTGGGGTGTTGGGTGTTGTTTCTTCTTTCTTTCTTTTTTTTTTTTTTGGTTGTTTTTCAAGTTAGGGTTTCTTTGTGTAGTCCTGGCTGTCCTGGAACTCACTCTATAGGCCAGACTGGCCTCGGTTCAGAGATCTGCTTGCCTCTGCCTCCAAGTGCCGGGATTAAAGGCACATGCCACCACCACCCAGCAGGTATTGTTATTTTATTCCCCTTTGATAGATGAGGACTCTGTCGTGCTGAGGTTAAAAAGTTGGCTCAAGGTTCTATAAGAAGTCGAGAAACCTCTAACATGTCCGAGGAAAATATTCACTAGCTATCAGGAATTGAGAAAAGTCCTAGTGAGATGGCAAGCCCACAGGCTCAGGGATCATAGAGACACATAAATGCCACATGAATGCACCCGGGAGCTTCTCAGGAATGTATACTCTCAGGCCCCAGCTGGAGTTTTAGAGATCAAAATCTGTATTTTATTAGCACGATTTACAGGGGCTCTGCTCTGCTTTCGGCCACGGATTTCATCCATCACCAGATGTCCTTGCAAGCATTTAACTGTTTTCCTCACTGTTATTCCTCTTACAAAGGTAATCAGTGTTGGACAGCACACCCACCGTGCTATGAATTATCTCCTATTCAGTTTGTGAACTCTGATATTAATGTCAACTAAGTAGCTTTAAAGTAGCGAAAAGTAGAGTAAAACTTAGTTAGCCTAAGTCTTCTATAAACTAGCATTCATTGAATAGCTAAATAGTCTGAATATTTCATTTATTCTTCTTAATCTTTACTTATTTTTGTGGGGTTGTGTGTGTTTTTGGTGTGTGTGTGTGTGTGTGTGTGTGTGTGTGTGTGTGTGAAGGCCAGCGGTTAAAGATTAGTGTCTCTCTCCATCTTTCTCTACGCTAATTTATGAGACACAGTCTCTAACAGAATCTAGAAGTCACAGGTTACTTGGCTGGTACCTGAGATCTAGAGATCTACCTGTCTCTGCCTTGCCCAGTGCTAAGGTTATAAATAGGTACCACCATGCTTGGCCTTCATGTGGCTGTTGGGAATCCAAGCTTAGGCTTATGTGGCAAGCACTTTGCCAACTGTACGGTCTTCTCAGCTTTTAATGCCCCTCTTTTCCCACTGATACATGTCTTATAAATATAAGTAACTCACACAAGTTAGGAAAGTTTGATTCCATGGCCTTGGCTCATCCTTCCCATATCCCCCTGGTTCCGAACACAGTGCCACGACGATGAAGATCGGGTGGCCATTTGTTTTTAAATGGCGCTCTCCTAAAGCTGCTCTCATCATGATTTTCCTTTTAGACTACATCTGGAGAAGATGTCCGTGACTTCGCCAAGGTACTGAAAAACAAATTCCGTACCAAAAGGTATTTTGCGAAGCATCCCCGAATGGGCTACCTGCCAGTGCAGACTGTGTTAGAGGGGGACAACATGGAAACGTGAGTAGTGGCAAACACAAAGCAAACTTCCATTTGATATACATATCTGAACTCCTTCCTCCCAACCAAATACCCTCCTTCACTCCCAAATGCAAACAGTCTCTTCAGTTTCTCTCTTTTTGGATTGACTTTAGCTTTAAAAAAATAAAATAAAAGGCAAATAAGCTGATTTTCAATTGCACTTTCCCTTGACAGCTATCTTTTCCAAAAGTCAAAGGAAGGAAAAAAAATAATAATACTGAAGTCCAAATTGCCTTCTAAGCCTTTTAAGAGCTTGGGGACTGTTTACAGATGAGTGATGCCAGTATTTCATTTTGAGTTCCTTCCCTCACAAACCAGTGGACATGTGTCTTTTTGTATCTAATTGTGTGGTCATATCTAGTCACTCTTTTCCACTTGAGAGAAATACCCAGGCGCAGGGAAGGCTTTCACAGTAAGTAGAAATGCGTCTGCTGGTCACCTGGATGAAGGCTTTGCCTCCTGGAAACTTCCTCCTTTGATTCTCCCTGTCCTCTGATGGCAATCACACAGCGATTTGTTTTGCTTTTCATTCACTTTTCACTCTTACTTGGCTGTTGCTTTCCATGATTCAGACATACTTTGGTTGGATTTTTGTTGGTTTCTTTTGCCCTTTTCTTAAGTTCTGTTGCGGCTGGATTTGCTTGTGTCTCTTTTCACCACCTCATGTGTTTTGTTTTGCAGTCCCGTTACTCTGATCAACTTCTGGCCAGTAGATTCTGTGTGAGTACTTTTGCCGAGGGTGCTGCGATCACCAGCATTCACTTGCTTGATTGCTCTGTGTATTTATTTATCTGTTTATTTATTTATTTATTTTGCTCTGTTTGGTTTCAAGACATTCTAATTTCCTGTCTTTTTTTTTTCTCACTAAGGCCTATCACAGCTTACAGAGGCTCTGGGTAGAGCTGCAGGTCTCTCTGCTGAAGTGCTAGTCAGTAGTAATTCTGCTCTGAGTTCTAATAAAACTGAAAAGAATTCTGCAGGTTTTAGCTGTAGTCCTGGAAGACGTGTTTATATTTTCAATATTCCTTCAAATATAGGCAAGAAAGAGGCTCCCGTTTGGATAATAGCATTTGAAAGCCATGTTTCTTGAGAAGTAATACATGGAGACCTTCAGAAGGGTCATGGTGTGTTCCTTGGAAGCAGTTCTCAATGGACTAGTAAAAATCAGCAGGATAGATTTTAGAGTATGACACTGAGTTTGGTTGACTAATTTCAGTGAAGTGTGTGGATGTTTTTAAAAAGTAGGTTATGCCATGCGGTTTGAAAAATTTTCACAAATGTAGGATTCTGACTTGTAAGCTAAACTTATTTTTATCGTCTCTCTAAAATACTCAGTTCATAAACAGTTATGCCTCTAAACAAGGAGGGAGTGCTCTGTAGTCTGTGCTACTGGTGTTTATCAATACTACTAATATAATATAATAACACACAAATGATTTATTTCAGCTTACATTGTTAGCGAACTATTTTGGAGCTAGGTATTGTGATAAACACCTAGCTATTTAAGAGGCTGAGGCAGGAGAACTGCTTAAGTGAGCCCTGGAGTTTGAGACCAGCTTGAGTACCACAGTGAGACCTCCTTAAAGATTAAAATCTATGAAATCTTTTAGAGACCTTTGTTGTGTACATTAGCAAAAAAAAGTATGCCTACATAAATGTTATATAGTGTTTTCATAATAGTTTGTTGTTTTACAGTATGCTTTACCAAATTAAAGTTTGGGAGCTCTGTCCTGTAACAACGGGAAAACAACTAATTTGAAAGACTGGCTTATGTGAGAATTTAATTGATTTGATTTTTATATTATCTCACCATATAATTTAACTGAACCTAAAGAATGTTTTTTTTTCCCAAAGATATAGAGACAAACATAAGCTATGAATTGAGATGTATTTTAGGTCTTTAATAGCCAAAGGAAGTAGAAGAGTTCGTTTTCTTTTTTAATCTCACATTATTGTGCCATTTAATTTTGAGATACCATACTTACAAATAGTGCATTGTCCCTTTTCTTTATTCCAAATGGTTACACAATATAAAAAGTTGCTCGATAAGGCTGTAGTTTTGCATGACGGTAATTATTTTCCCCAACCTGAGCATTCTGTTTGCAGAAGTCAGAAGCCTTCATAACTAAGCAATTTTGAAACTTGATCTGCTGACGTACTGAGATGATCAAGTAGGTAGATTTCCTCTGCCAGAGGAAGTTTAACCAGGGAGGAAGTCTGAAAAGTTAGGATTCCGAAGAAATTTTTTTTTACTGTTTGACTAAAAGGAATAGGAAACAGTTTCTTGAAAGGAAAGGAGAAGATCCAATCTATGTTAATGAGAAAGTATCACAGTCAGGTGGCAGTGACTTCTTTTAAATTGAGGACGTTTGTCTTTCTTAATCCTTGAAGCGCTTTCAAAATCACTTATTTATTAATTTATCTTTTGTAACAACTAAAACATATTCTTTGGTTGCCTTTTTAGGAAAAGTTGGCTAGATTTTTCAGAGTGTGTGGGGTGTTCTAATTTGGAGGAAGAAAACAAATCCACATGCTAGTCTGTACTTTCTTTAATACTCTCATTTTATTACTTTTTACTCCGACTTTTCTAATAAAATAGAAAAATCTATTGTAAAACTGTCCTATTCAAGCAGAAGAATTAGGTACTAACCTGTTTTATTTTGTTAAAATATATGGGATAGGAGCATCTTATGATAATAGTGGTATTTAATCTACTTAATGTGGAACACAGACTTGGACAGCTTCCAGAGATACAGATCTTTTGTTTTTGCTTAGATAAAACCCTTGTTTCTTTGTAGCTGTCATAGTATTTTAAACTGAATCCAGGATAGGCCTCTCGTTTTGTTTATCCACAAATGAGGCAGGCTAGCAATGTTGCCGGAGCTCCTCTGCTTTGAAATCGGAGTAAATGAGAGCCTGCTGATGGAATTCTCACACGCATGCGTGAGATGCCATTGGCCAAATCGATTCTTAGGAATAATCGGAAATGATCCTGGTTGGTATATTGCTCTGTATTTACAAAGCAGGAAGCAGTAGCCATATTATTATCCTCCTTTGAAAGTGCTTTTGGAGGCTTACTACTTAAGGTATTTTTTGGAGTAATTATTACTAATTCTTGGTTTTCAAATTATTCTACTCCTTGTCTGGTTTAGCAAGTGCCTCTTGTACTTTTCCAGATTCCTAACTATTACCAGTTCGTATACTTATGCAAGCTGCACTAGGTACTATGTGCATTAATATATAAAATAATGGGAAATTACCCTTGAGGCTAAGAATTACAGCTCTGTTTAAGACCTTTGATAAGATTGCATTAATGTGCTTTGGATTTACATGCCCTCTTCTCCTGCTGTAGCTTTGCTTCAAGGTCTTGTGTTTTCTTTTTTTTTTTTTTTTTTTTTTTTTTTTTTTTCTTTTTTTTTTTTTTTTTTTTTTTTTTTTTTTTTTTTTTTTTTGTCTATATACTACCAGTATAGTAACTATTATAATGAAAATTACTGCTAATATGTTTTCCTCAGTGGTAGGCTTTAGCTTATTTTATGTATATATGTATATATATATCGATATATATACATATTTTATATGAAACTTTGTAGCTTTCTTTAAACTATTTCAAATTCTATAAAAATAGCAGATTAACTCAAAAATATAGTGAAGATTCCCATGGGAATATTTGGATCTGCCTATTAAGTTGAATAGTTGTCTCTTTTGCTTTCACATGAAAATGTAAAACATGTTTTACACTTGACCTAGACAACACTGGTCTCATATTTTAGGACTTGACCTCCACAATATGATAAAACCTTTATCTCTCAAGGAAGGCCTCCAGTGCTCTGGTCATTGGTTTAAGTGTGTGTTGTAATTATCTTAACACAATGTTTCATATTTAAAAAAAATAGAAATTTCCAGCATATTTTCTATGCAAACCTAGCGGTATATATCCATTCATCTTCACATATATATGTGTGTGTGTATGTATGTACAGCCTCCACACTCAAGCTGACAAGTTTGAAAGGTTCTGGGTTGGGGGTTCGAGGGGGACACTGAGGCAGGCTGTCCCTTTGGGTAAAAGGGACATATACATACATACACACACATACATACAGAAATTTAAGAAGAAAATCAAACATTTTCATCTTCATGTTCAGACCAAGTCTTTGAATGCTGCTTGGGTATTAGGCTAAACAACAGACCTCACTGTGCATGTTACGCTGGATTTTGGGTTCATGCCTTTCTTTCCCTAAGTCCTTTCTGTATTAGGAGAGAAATGGAAAAAGATCTTTTATTCTTTTCAAATAGGGCAAAACTCACAAGTCCAAACTGGTTTTTGGAATAAATTTTGTTTTTTTGGGTTTTTCTTGGTAAAGTTAATCCAAAATATATAAAAAATTTTTGAAATAATGAGTAGATCAGCTATGAAGTCTGAAAAAAGGTAACCCTACCACAATCCTTGCCTGTCTACTGAAGACAGGGGCCTTTTGGTTTTGCCTACAGAACTTATACTCACCCTTTTCTCTTATTTGCCCATCTGGATTTGAGTGCACACTAGCCCCCGTAAAAACTATCGTAGATACATGACATCTTACTAAATTTAGATATTCTTTAAAAAATGCTTACATGATCTTGCGTTGTTCCTTTTTTTTTTTTTCCCAGAGCATACTAGCATAATGCTACCGTTAAATTGGCAGGTAGCTTCCTTCTGTAGACATCTTGGTAGATAGAATTTAAAGAAGTACTAGAATGGAATAGCCTCAGTGGAACTAAAATTCTTGACTATAAATCTGCTAAGGATACACAGTTTACAGTCAACCCAAAGATGCTCTCATAGACGTGTGTAAGCTGTTTCCAGTTTTAACCACACAGTTCTGAGACAGCCCCAGCACGCTCATATATGAAAATGTATGAGCCGAGAGGCTGTAATGCTGTGTAGATTCAGCCCCCCGTACCTTTTTGTGTAATTGACACATTTTAGAGAGTTTTTTCTTTTATTTTTATGGCTTTTAAGGAAAAGCAGAAGTCATCTCTCAAATTTCAATTTAAAATATTTGATGCTGTCTTATATACAGGAACAGCTACCTACATGTGCATGCTTAGAATAAAGTCATTCTAAGCCATGCATATAACAGGAGTGTGTGGTGGGGGCTATTTCTCCATTAATGGATGGTATCTATGACTAATCACATTTTCTGCCTTATAGGCCTGCCTCGTCCCCCCAGCTTTCACACGATGATACTCATTCACGCATTGAGCATTATGCTAGCAGGTATGAGACTAGTTGAATGCCAGGGAAATATTGATTGAAATAACTAACCAAGGAGAGCTAACCTATAATAATTTTAAAAAATATATATTTTCTCTCTTCCTCAGTCCTTTCTGATTTCTACTAATCAATTTGCCCTCTAACGTGCATGCCATTCTACTGCATGGAGGTTTTGGATACCAACAACAGCATGGGTCCAGAACAATCTAATTTAACCCTGGCCTCTCAACATTTCTGGTAGCTTTGTTGTGTTTTATATTCTGAACACATTTGCTAAATTGGCTTGTAAGTCCTCGAACCTCCTTCCAAACTACTAGACTAGATATTAATCTGTGGAGAAATGATACCGTGTTACCTAAACAATGTGAAAGCCCTGATGTTTTATTTGTGTTTCCTTGACGCAATGTACTTTAAGAAGATACAACGTTCCTAACTCTTGAACTTTTCTCTACTACCTTCTTTGTATTTGAGATAACTTTTAGTCCTAAACGCTGAACTACTAATTTTATCTTGTGCTTGTTAAATAAGTCTATTCAACTTTTTCTGGTTGTCAAAAGGCTTTATTATTAAATCGGTGACAGAACACACAGAACACTTGTGAATCCATCCCTTATCAACCTCCTGACTACTGGACATGCTCTTCCGTTGTGGCAAGCATTAATTAGCTATATCATCTATCATCAGTGAAAGGCAACAATTGTCTTAAAAGACAAGGGGCAAGTGTAAGGTGTGGATTTGGTTTTAGGGAAGATTTTCTTCTGCAAACAAAGACTGGTCCTCAGAGAAAGAAAGATTGATCTATGGGGGAAAAATCCCCCCCCCCCCAAGAAAAAACAGCAACAAAATACAGCTTCTGGTAGTTTTTACATTAAAAGTGCAAAGCTACTAACTAGCTGCTTCAACTGGTTAAGACAACACACACATCCTTTAATTTGAAGGATTCCTTTCTCCTCTTGCCATGAGTTATTCCTTAGTTTTCAGGAATGTTCGCATAGGTCTTGAGTAGATTCTAAGAAGTCACATAAGTTTTAATGAGCTTTTACGTTTTTTATCAGGCTAGCAGAAATGGAAAACAGCAATGGATCTTATCTAAATGATAGCATCTCTCCTAATGAGAGCATGTAAGTATCCTATCTCTTTTTACAAAATGTTCCTGACAATAAAATTGCTTTGAGGGATTCAGAGGTAGGAAAAAACAGGATATAGGAACTAACATCACATTCATTTGATCTTTCAAGGAGCCATTCATTAACTTTTTTCTTTAGTTCTTAAAACCTGGCACAGAATGAGCTCATACAAATACAAGCATTAATCCAGAATAGCAAAAACACAAACAAACAAAAAAACGCCTTACTTACATTTATTTAATGCCTTATGACTATAAATTACTGATTTCAAACACTTAGATCAAAGGCTAGTTTTTGAGCACACTGGAATAAGGAATAGGATGACATTTGAAAGTATGAACTAAGTCGGATTTCCTCCACTCGTGAGAAGTGGAAATGTGGTCTTCCCATAGAATATCTATTCCCATATACTGTTAGGTTGGCATTTTTCTTCATTAGACTGTTGTGCTTTAGCATCATATAGAAAGACAGTCTTGTGAAGTGTTCCCAGATGAGGGAAGACAAATGCAGGTCTCAGTTTGCCACTGGGGTGATAAGCTAGCTTGATCACACTTTAAGAAGGAGATGTATTACTGTTACAAATGGCCAAGAACACACTTGGCTCCAAAGCAGAGGCATCATCACCAGTTTAGAGCAGTGCACATAGTACAGAATACACAGGACCATTGCTATGATCCAAGCAGATATTGATTAGGAAGGAAGAGACGTGAGGGTATGGAGGAAATAGAGGACCCACTAACCAAACACATAACATGCAGAGAAGAATTTTAATGCTTTTAGCTTGATAAGACATAGTAAGACAATGGTTTAACATCTTATATTGGAGAATAGGCAAATGGAAGCATAGTAAAGTGATCCTATATAGTATGTACGGGAACCCAGCATCTTGCTCAGATGAGGAAGGGACCTTCATAAGGATTAAGCCAAAGCAAATTGTATTAAAGTGGGATTTCTATGTAATTATTGAATTCCAAATGATTTAGTACATAGAGGAGACCAATATAATAAGAGAGACATCAACAGCCAGTCATTTACTTCAAACAAATATCCTTTCCCCAATTAAAACTGTGATGCTATTATCTGATCTTCCAGCAGGAAAGTGAGTAGCTAAAGAACCAACTCCGTATAAAGGCTTGAATGGTTCACTCATTTGGCTACCCAGTTTTGTATTGAAGATGCTCTCACGCTTCCACATTAATTTAGAGTCACTGGCAGTCATGGTACTGCCGCGGAGAACAGGAAGAAAACTTAACAACAAGTATAGGCTCCAGTTAAATGTGGGAAGTCACAGCAATAAAATTTTAGAATTTGAGGAGGGTACTAATATATTAGCTATGTGATAAAGACCTTGATTGCTTTATTTTACAACAAAATTTAGCTGTAGCTCATTCTGAGGACATGCAATCCATTTTCACCCTGTTGTTTAGCAACAGTTTTGATGGATCAGCTGATTTCATTTAAATGTTTCTTTTTAATGCCACTGAAAATCATAATATTCATTATTATCATTATTTTTGTGGTGTTAAGGAGGGCTTTATGCATGCTAGGCAAGTAGTCACCCACTGCAATGTATCCCAATGCTCCAGGGATTACTTAGTAACATCTCCACCACTTCTCTCTATTGACTGACAACAAAATGGAAGCCATGAGAACATTTTCCTAAGGACCTGATCTTTTCAAACTGAGAATGTGGTGGCTCTGGCATGCTAGGCATGCAGACTCATGCCAGTAATCAGGAGGCTGAGACAGAAGGGTTGCCAACTGAAGACCAGCCTGGGCTATGCAGATATCCCCTCCGGAAAACCCAAATTAAGTGGGTATGCAAAAGGTAGCATGTGCTCACGATAACGCCATGGAACCAGAAACAAGGAGCTTTAGCGTTTCATTAAGAAGAAAATGAAGTTCCTAGAACCTGGAGGTACAATGGAGTTTTCAAAAACTTTGAGCACTTCATTCTTCGAGTGATTTCTCCTGCATGTTATTAGAAAGTTTCTTCTTGCCAGGAGACTGCAACTGCCTCTCAGAATATGCCTTCCTCTGCCCTCCCCGCAACAGAAATAGTGCTTAAGATTCAGCCTAAGGAATGAGTTGTTCTTATCCTCTTTTAATCAGTCACCTTAATGTCTTCACCCCCTTCAATTTTGTATTTATATCTAAACAGTATTTAAAACAACCAGTTAGCCACGGGTTAGTTATTGCTGATATCCCACCTCTGAGGCCTATAAGTTAAAATTAGCTGGCTGAAGCAGCTCTTTCGGGTTTTTGCCTTCCACTGAAGACACTATTTCCTATTTTAAGAACTATGTTTTCCCTCCTCCCTGCCCAATCAGTATCAGTACCATGGCTAATGAACAGATCATCTTGACATACTTACTAACAAAAGAATTAAATGGCCATTGTTATTTTTTTTTAAAAAGTATTTGTTAATTGATAACAGGCTAAAGTGTTAAAATAGACTCCCAAGTATTTCTGTAATTCTGTTTTTCATTTATCTGTGTAAATAGGCCAGTAAGTTTCATGTGGATTTTTGAAAAAAGAAACAATTTAAACTGTCCATCACTACAGCGGTACCTAAATGTCTTCAGAATAGGGGCACGGAAGGGTCTGACTAATTATTGAGAGCAAAGAAATGTTTCTATTTTCAAATACACATCTGAGTCCCTGACCCCAAAACAAAATAAGGGGGGTGGAAAAACCAAAACCTTTGATTTTATTTTCCAGAGATGATGAACATTTGTTAATCCAGCATTACTGCCAAAGTTTGAACCAGGACTCCCCCCTGAGCCAGCCTCGTAGTCCTGCCCAGATCTTGATTTCCTTAGAGAGTGAGGAAAGAGGGGAGCTAGAGAGAATCCTAGCAGATCTTGAGGAAGAAAACAGGTGAGTTTTCTCTGTAGCTGTGTCATTGGTAAGCGGAGTGCACACGCTTGCACACGAAGACGAGTGCCAGGAGTCTTCACTTAGTCACTCAATGTCTAACTGTTTGCGAAAATAATCTGTTCGGCTCCTTTTGCAGATTCACTTCTTGTCTGAAAGAAGAAAATGAGTGCCATGTAGCATGATTAATAAATACCTCCTAATTTAGGTGCGAGAGGATTAATGCTAATGGGGGCATTGGGTTTATTGCATGTGTGCCATAGGTTTTGATATATTTGTATCTGGAAAGAGAATTTAAGAGAAAAACTAAGTGACTTAATTCGTGGTTCTATAAATTTTACATGTTTGGCCATATTACCATAAACATTAGAGGAAGTAGATTCATTGGCTTTGTCATATTTGGGAACAGTATTTCCTCTTGTTTTTCATCATCAAGTAGAGAAGTTACTGCTTTTGTTCATCTTCATAGCAGATTAGGTAGGCAATTCCAGGTGTTAGCCATTAACTGTAAAAAAAAAAAGTGCAATTATTAAAAAAAGAAAATTCATGATGCCTAAAGCGGATAAATTGTAAGGATCTAGACCATTGTGTGGTGTCAGGATAATACAAATCATTGGCCTCTTCCTTTTGTTTTACATTTGCTATGCCACGGGTACCCTGGTGAAGGGAACCTTTTCATATAAGCACCTGTAATCACAGTGTGGCTTGCTACAGACAGTGCCACCAGGCAAGTCTTTAAAGGCCAGACTGCTCAAATCTGTAGCACTTAAATACTTTCATCTCTTTCGGTTAGCCCAAGGCAGCAAGACCTCTTAATCTAGAGGACATACTGTATTTGAGACCCAGTGCCCTGAGGGAGAATGTCACCTCAGCATGAAAAAGCTGGCGGCCGTTCATCTAGTCCCTTCTGCCCGCTACTAGCCTTTCAGCTCTTTATACCCCTGACCTCTGGCCAGAGCTCTTTATCAAATTGGCTTCCCTTGAGTTCCTTGCCCATTTTTCCCAATAAATCCTCTGCACTGACTCTTTGTGTAGCTTTCCAGAACCAAGGCCAATCATGGCATTCTTACTTTACTGGATTTCTGTATCTTGAATGAATACCCAGCTTCTCAGCAGGGCGTCCAAACCTTCCACTGTGTTCTCTCGACTTGCTTTTGTCGAAGGTGTTCTTCTACTTCCTGTGCTGCTGTAGCCAGTATTTTGATTTTGTTTGCATCTGCTTTCTGGGCCATGTTCATGCTCGCTGTTGGCCTATATAACTTTAGATTTTGCCCAGAAAACTAAGGGCAGTTATCCATCATTGTCCGTACCTCCTTCAAATGAGTCCTGGCCATTCGGTAATCAGCATCTTGTTCCTCTAGTAGGTCCTACCACAGTGATAATATTTCACTACTCAGGAAGTATCTGGTAAAACACTACAGATCATGTCCTCATGCTTATATGATATAAACTTAAGAATATGGCAAGGAGGTCACATGACCGCCAGTAATGCTGTAATATTGTACATTTGTGGAGAGAAGATTAATGATAGCTTTATTTTATTAGCTCTATTTGTAAAAGTAGAAGTGAAATCCAAGATACCTCTCCTATTATTTTACTGGGAAGAGTCACTAATAATAAGTAGTAACAATAGCTAGTAGTCATTCATATTAAATCTTTATCAAAGACAAAAGAGAAGAAAGGATTGGGATTTCCCCTATAAACACAATCTGATGCTCTTGAAGAGTATGTACATTGTCTAGTATATGATCCTTACCATTGCTTAGTACATCTTTTAGATCATTAGTCAGGATATAGGTTTTGTTGGTGGGTTGTGCATGCTCCCTCCATGCCATGGTAACCAGGTCAATGAGTGTTGGGGAGGAATACCGATTAAACTTATTTATGTATCATTTCATCATTTTCAGAGCACCATCTCTGGTACTGGGAACTGAATCCATGACCTCATGCATGCTAAGAACCCATTCTACCACTAGGAAACACTACCAGTTTCTCATTTTAAAAGTACTTTCATATATTTTAGATCGTTTAATCTTTTTAAAGGCAGTACAAAGAAGTACACATCTCCTTTCTTTAGATGAGAAAGCACAGGCTGAGAGAGGTTCAAATAGCTTGCCCCAGATTTCCCAGTCAGCTAGTGGTAGACATAAATTCATACCAGGTTTATTTTTTCGCACTCAAAATAGCCAGCTCTACCTTGGTTCAGAGAATAAAGAGCCATTCTATGTAAATGCCATCTACATAGAAATCGGGTTTATTCCCCAGAATGTGCCTTACCTTGAGAGCGTTGCAAAGAACAAACGCCCTTGAAATAAACTAGTTCAACCACTTTACCCTGAAATATATCCAGGATTGTCACTGAAAATGGGATGGTTTGTTCTCTGAAAGAAAGATTATATAGCAGGGCTACTTAGTGCTCCAAAACTAGGCCTCTGCCATTATGTGAGTCTTTCTGGAGGTTATCTTGAAAAGGTCAGAATGAGTCTTTTCTTTTCTTCTTCTTCTTAGTTCTATTTTCACCTCCTACTGAAATCCCAAAGAAGTGTCTCCCTCTTGGGAACAGCCTTCCTCATTTTCTTGCCCTATCCTCTGCTGTCTTCTTAGAGATTTTAAGAAAGAGATGTAGGACCATTCTGCTTCTGTGACCTTTGCATTGGGTGTTGCTTTCAAAGCCTTTAATTTGTCATTTGCCTCCCTAAAAAAGCCTAGGAAATCACTAGATTCTCTTTCTCTGTGCCTGCCAGCCTGGATATTTCCCAAGTCAGAAGTAGGCTGCAAAAATGAAAAATAATAGCCTACTTGTGGAGAAAATGGGCAAGGATATTTAAAGTTAGTATTGTACTCAATGCTCTGGATGGGGACTTTGAGTATATGTAAATATTTGTGTATATTTAGTGTTTATTTAGTATTTCTAAATGTCAAATATCTGTGAATATTTGGTGTCCTTATTCTATAAATGTGATTTATGTTCACATTGCAGTTAGCAGAGGAGAGTTAATTGGAGACTCCAATTCCTGACTACATATGTTATTAATTCTATTAATTACTCTTTTTCACGATTTTCCTGGCCCAGTGCCCTAGAGAAACTCAAGGTGGCTATTCTATATACATCTTGGGTATATCTTTTTTCCTTTTTTAATTTATTTTTTAAGATAATCTTTTCTCATTTTACATAGCAATCCCAGTTCCCTCTCCCTCCCCTTCTCTCACTCCCCTACCTTCCACCTGTCCCACCCCAATCCATTCCATAGAGAGGGTAAGGCTTCCCATGGGGAGTCAACAAAGTCTAACACATTCCTTTGAGGCAGAACCAAGGCCCTCCCTCCTATATCTAGGCTGAGCAAGGCAGCCTTCCAAAGAGAATGGGCCCCAAAAAGCCAGTTCAAACACTGGGGATAAATCCTGGTCGTCTTGGGGTATATCTTATCTCTACTGTTCGAGTTCCTTTTCTCCCATTCCTTATACATAGCATTCAATACATATTTGTTGGATAAATTAATGAACAAATGAATTGAACTGGAGCTGGATCTATTTTGGGTTTTAACACGTGCATGTAGTTTCGAAAACAAATATTTCACAAACCTAATTTCATAAAGGAAAACATTCAATTGAGCTTTTATTATTTTTTTTAGTTCTATTAACATTTCAAAATACTTCTCTCTGCCTTGATTAGTACCAAGCATGTCTTTCTCATAAACATAGAATTTTAGTTCTTTTTTAATTTATTTATTTCTTTATTAATTAAAAATTTCTGTCTCTTCCCCACCACCACCCCCCTTTCCCTCCCCCTCCCCCAATCAAGTCCCCCTCCCTCGTCAGCCCAAAGAGCAATCAGGAAAAAATCCATTTTTCCAAGTCCCTGGCTCTGGGTGTCTCTCCCACCAGCACCCTCTGGTTCCTAGTCTTTTTTCCCCATAAAGATAAGAATAAAGCTGAGTATGTCTCTGGATCTTTTTGATAGTGCCTCTTAAAAGTTTGTGACATTGGTAGCATTCATTAGCTTAACCTATCATTCATGTTTCACTTGTTAAGCACAGATAATTAGAGTTTATCTTTATTTGGCAGAAGCCAGCTGATTACTGAGAGTTGGTTCCATCCTATGTCCTTAGCTCTGTGAACTCAAGGCTTACCTTTTTTCCTGTGTTCATGAAATCTTGTAGTCTCCTGACTTAAGTCTATACTTGCCAAATTACTGTCAGCATGGTAAATTAGTTAGGTTGCTCCTAAATCTAAAATGCAGGGAAATATGAGTTTGATTGACTGTGAAGTTTAAAGATGATTAACATTATTTCCTATTCTATGACAGCATCGGGCTCAGCAGATTTGTAGTACCTACCCAGTACCTTTCATATGCTTTGGTTTGGTTCTTTGGTAACCAGGCCTTTTCAGCTTTGATTTGGTTTTATCTTGCTTTGTTTCATTCTGCCAATATTCATACAAGATTATATAACATTCCAAGAAGTTTTAGATTTGTTACTTATGTCGCTGGTTTGAACTAGGTGGACACCATTGACCTGTTCGTGTACCTTGTAAACAACCTAATGTTCTTAGGTCCTGCTTTCATTGATATAAATCTTCATAAACTCAGGCATCTTTAGTCCATTTTCTTTGTTTTGTTCTATATGGTAGTCTAAAGTGATAAGAAGGGCCAAACTGAAAGAGTAAAAGTGAGGGGTCAAGAGCTGTGGGCAGGCAGCCAGAGATGAGTAAGTTAAAACACTAGGAAGAATGACAGAATGTCATTTGCAAAATCTACATTGTAGCCAGGTGTGGTGGCATAAACCTTTATTCTCAACAGTTAGGAGACAAAGGCAGATAGATGTCTGTGAGTTTGAGGCCAGCCTGGTCTATATAGTGAGTTCTAGACCAGCAAGGTCTACACAGTGAAACCCAATCTCAAAACAAGACAAAGAAAGAGAGGCGATGAAGCCATCTGTTGTGCAAGAGGAACAGAGAATATGTCACACTGAGGAGTATAGACCTCCTCACCTAGGCGAGTATGC